AAGAGGGAAGGCTCTTCCTGAAGCACAGCCTACTGAAGCATTTTTAAGTAGATGAGCTAACTCCTGAAATAATCAAGCCAGCATAGTGTCTGCAAACCCATAAATAGCATCTCCTTCCTCAGAGAGAGCCAAGTTGCTTGAATGTGGACTCAGAAAAGATCAGCTCTGATCAAAACACAAAAACAACATCAGAGTAACCACCTTAGCAATATGAGGCTTCCAGTATAAGAGATATGAATGGCTATTTCATGCAACTTGCATACTTTGGTTTTCACAGGAGCTAAACATTTGTATCTTTTTATTTTCTCTCTTTCTTTTACTTACTGACTTTTAAACAACAGAAGAAAGAGCATATCATTAAGATTTTGTGTGAAATTATTAATAACCAGAAATTACTGAACATTTATGGTACTATAAATCTGTTCTCTATCATATATCCATATAGCCAATAGAACGGTGGCTGGATGAGGGCAGGAACCATATCTGGTACACAGCAGTAATTCAGAAACTATGTGTTAAATGAAAAAATGTATGACATCTATAGGGCGGGAATCTTTAATGTGAGATTCTTGGAAATGCTTCAGGGCATCTATAACCTGCCTGAAATTATATACATTATTGCATGCGAATATGAGTGTGTATTTGCTGAGGTGAATGTTCTAGGGAGTAAGCCTATAAACTGCACAATATTCTCTTCTATCTGGATTTCATCTAAAAAACAAAAGCAAAAAATGTTATGGACCCTTGTTTTGGAGCTGCCACTAACCTAACCTTGTTGCTCTTGCCTTTTGAACATGAACCCCCTACATTCTGTCCCACTTAGCAGGTTCTCTGGTGTTCAGCCTCAGACAAGTAGAACTCTTCCCTGACCTACTGCAACAGCAATGAAGATAAAAGCAAGCATTACATGCCACAGTCATATAACACATCTTTCAGCAAACATGGCAATGAGTTGTCACATCTGGCCATTTAAAAATCATGCTGGGCTGGGGAAAAGTATACTTGCCAGACAACCAAAAGAAATCTCTTAATTTGGGTATAGAACCAAATACATGGCACTGGCATAGCATCCTCATAAAAAGTGACTCCACTGAACTATAAAAGTCTGAGCTTGGTAAATGCGGACACCAAACACTCAAAGGAGACCCACAAAGGCAGAATGCACAGAATGGATGATGCAGGAGGAATGAGGCAGAGTATTCCCCAAACAGCCCTGATGTACAATAAAAATAATAATAACAGCAAGGATGATTCAACACAATTTATAGGCCAAAACCCTCTACCAGAGTTAAAGCGCTTCCATGTAGATGTGTCAGGCTGGCTCGATGACATGGGGGCTCAGGGAAGTTCCTGTCTTCTTCATGCCACAGCTAGTCAGTGAGGAGGCAGAGGAGATGTGCACACACCTGCCACCCCTGAATGCTGTGTTCTTCACACAGCATCTTACTTCAGACCATGGAATACTGTCTAGGCCTCTCTTCTTAATTTCTGGATATGTTGGTAATTATTTGGTGAAATCCAGAAAAATAAAGGTGCTCAAGAAAGCTAATGTATTATCTCTGCTGCCACGTAATTAATGTGTTGGTAGGTGGGGATAAGTCGGTACATAAAAAAATATCAAGGAAAGTAGCAAAATAAGAAACTTGGCCTTGGAGTCCTTTGAAGCTATTTTAAAAAATAAAATATTATGTTAAGAGCTATGTGGTATATCCCTGTGTGTGTGTAATTATTATTCCACTGATTTATTGCACACATGTCAAAGAGTGTCTGGGCATTTATACAAGTTAAAACAAACCAACCCGAGAGCCAAGCCACATAGCCACAAACCCAGACAACTTGCCTCCCACCCCTTGTCCACCCCCCAAACGCAAATTCCCTGATAGCAAGAATCCTCCTGGCAGAGATGAACTGTTAAGCCAGTGACATCTGTCACTTACTCCAAATTCTAAAGAGTGGCTAAGACCAGTTAATAGCACAGATTTTCCAGAGAAACCAGCAAGTTTCTTCTAACTCTAGAGAGAGACCTCTTCTGTTTTGGCAAAAGCTTTTAAGGAATGACTCAGAAATCAAATTGGAAGGAACTATCACAAGGAACTTCCTCCAAGGATGAGTGGCCTATCTTCTTATGAATTTAAACTTGGGTCTTTATTGCCAGGAATAACCAAACATAACATATCTCACCTACTAAAGACTTACCCACTAAGGTAGGGAGTTAGAGGTGGGAGAATCACTTTAATACATTTTACCCTGTTGCCAAAAATCCTTTGCCTGTGATCCAACAATTAGAGCAAATACCCGAAACTGCTTCCTCAAAGAGATGGACATCATTGGGTAACTGTCTCCATTTTCACTTACAAAGATCTTAAAAGAAGAAAAAAGGCCAAAAGAAAATTCCTTGGATGTATCCAGCTGATAAAATCATTAATCACACACTCCCAACTTCAAAGCAGAAGACTAGAAAATCACCTCACTTTCCCTGCACATGGGAAATAATTTTTTCTACTTCAAAGCACCCGTCTTTTTATTGGGTCATTTTAATTATTGAAAGTGGGATGGAAGCTATTCGCACAATGTCACCACTGCCTTTTTCATGAAATATACATAGGTCTAATTTGGACTCCACTACCTCGAGAGAGCGAAGGCACAAAAGAGGGACTAAGAGAAGGGAAACGGGCGGGGAAGCCAGCGTCACCCGCGTCGCCAGCACAGGCAGTAAGAGAAAGGAGGCTAGCCTTTCGGAGCAGACTTTCTCATTCCTTCCTTTTGGAGAGAAACCATCAAGGAGCTGCCTAAATACTCTCAACAACCAAAAAAAAGCAGCAGCAGCTGGCTGCCTATTTGGGCAATACCTCAACTGACCGCCTTGCTTCTCAGATTTCCTCCTACCCAACACACAGCAACGCAACCACACTAACTTTATCAGTAATGCTGGCATTGTTGCCAACTTAAGGCAACTGTGGGTTGCTTTGTGAGTAACTGGTGTGAAGAAAAACTTGTGCTCTAGAGCGAGGGTCAGCAAACTGTCTGGCCCTGTTCAGAGAGAGACTGCTAGAGAGAGGTCAAGCCAGGCTTTCCAAGTCCCACTCGGCCCTCTTCCCACAAAGTCACAGGCCATGAGTCGGCAAACGTTTTCTGTAAAGGGGCAAAGAGTAAACATGTTAAGCTTTGCAGGCCGTACAATCTCCATTGCTACTAAATTCTACAGTTATTGCCAAAAACAACACATAGATGAATGAATGTGGCTGTGTTCTAATAAAACTTTATTTATGAAAACAGGCAGAGGGTGGGATTTGTCCCACAAGCCAAAATTCTCAATCCCTATTCTAGACTAGAGGTAGATGGTAGAAACATTCTATAGCTGTGCTATATCCAATACAGCAGTCATTAGCCACAAGTGACCATTAATTGCTTGCCATGTGACTAGTGTGACTAAGGAACTGCATTTTAAATGTTACTGATTTAACATTGACTAGACACGGGCTAGTGGCTACAGTAGTAGATAGCACAGCTGTACATACCATCCAGTGCTCCTTTTCAAAGGAGATACAAACCACCTTCCAACGTACGGCATAGCGCATTTTTGCCTTAACAGAGAAAATATCCATGCTCCCACATTCAGAATGGAACTGTATAGAACTGAAAATTATATTTCTTAAATGTGGAATATCACATCATGGACACCAACATGATCATTTGGTTTGAATCAACAGAATAATTGCCTATTAGCCAATGTCAAGTGCATGGGGGCTAAGTCAGGTCCCTGCCAAGACTTATCCAGTCTGGAACCTGTTTCTTTTCTCCTCTCAACACTGTCCTGACCGCCGCTGAGGGCACAGACCTACTGAACGGCCCCATTAACTCCTAAGGAAAGTTCAAATCTCCCCAAAGACCCAAAAATATATACGTTCAAAGGCAGGGCCCAAAGAGCACAGAGGGAGCGTGCGTCTCAGTCAGGCTGCCTTCTCCTCCAGTGATCACAGCATATGCCGCCTCTACACAATCGGACGTTCACCACGTCCTTCACTGCTGCCCACATGTAATCATTTATTTTCTGTCAGTTGTTTTATTTACACAATAACTAGCTTGTGTTTTGCATTCCTTAGCTGCCCCAAAGATATAATCCAATGGAAAGAAGCAAGGAAATAGGATATTAACATATATTTGTTTTTTTCCAAGTGTGAATAAGAAATAACACGCTGCCCTGGCCTGCGTGGCTCAGTTGGCTGGGTGTCGCCCTGTGCGCCAAAAGGTGGCTGGTTGGATTCCCGGGCAGGCGCACACTGGGTTGCACCTTGATACCCAGAAGGGGGCGCGCAGGAGGCAGCCGATCTATGTTAGGCTCTCACATTGATGATTCTCTCTCTCCCTCTCTCTTTAAAAATCAACAAGAATATTTTTTTTAAAAAAGAAATAACAAACCAACATTTGCTTTAAGAAACTCACACAATACCAACTTTCTTCAATAGGTAAAAGAATATTGAAAATTGAGGATACTCCTTAGGAAGTAAGAAACCTCTGGGACCACGGGTGCCAGAAGGGGAACCTATACTGATACACAACAAGGGAAGGTAAATGACATTCTGATTTTTAAAAATGATTTTTGATAAAATAAAGCCATTCCAGATCCAATTTGGTTCCCAAATCCGAAAAGCTCTGACAAATGGAAAAAAAATTCCAAGTGTGAAGCAAACTCCTTTGGTGGCACAACCTGACAGGAACTGACAGGAGGCTCCTTATGTAGTCTTTATTTGGTGATAAATTTTTTTCTGCAGGAATATCCATGTGTTTGTATGACACGCCCAGCAACCCCACTGGGAGTGTTATACAGTCTATGATACAGGCAACGGCTCTTACCTTTCCAAAATCCCCCAAATAGCTGATATCCAAGACACCTCTGGCTCCAAGGGTCTGGATAAGGAATCTCCTAAAGCAAGCTATTCAGACAGGGCATTTTCTATGGACTCAGTGCCTGCTGCCCGAGTCCTGAGACAGTGCCTTACCTCAGTCTGGAGAATGGCAGCCCTCTGTTCTTTGGCAGTAAGCGACTCTTTAAGCACTTCGATGTGTTGCTTGCAATCTGAATTCTGATTGCTAAGGGTTTCAAGCTTTGTTTGTAAGGCAAGAAGTTCTGACTCCTTCTTTGAAAGTTCCTGTTTCAGCTGATCAATCTGTAAAACAACAAAATTGCAAGAAATTAGAAGCCACAGATACTACTCTAGATTTGGGAACTCCTGATTTCTATTTCCTTCTTGTGTGTGTGTATTTGTGTGTTCTTTAAATGACTTATTATTTCTTTTTTATTTTTCAATAGCCAATGATCATTATTCCAAAAAGGCAGGCCGTGAGTTTGCTGAAAAAGATGGCCCTGAGAATCACACAGTCTTTGGGATCTGGGGTGGCTCTGTCAAGGCGGCTGACAGTGTAGAAAACAGGAAAGGTAAGGTCAGCAGACTGCCTTCCACCTTCCACCGTCCACCCCACTGAGAACCAAGGTTCACAGCAGAATGAAGGCTTCCTGGCCAATCTGCTGTTCACCAAAGAAACCACAAAGCCTAGTCACCAAGATCCTCAGAAGGTAAACAGGGAGCTAAGAAAGGAACTTAACCCAAGGCATAACCTGGGCCTTCTCTACTGCCCCCCAGTGGAAATGATCGTTCAAGGGCATTATTTGACAAAAGAGAATTCCCATCTCCCCAAAATAAGTATTGGGTTATATTAAATACTGAGAAAACACAAAAGAAATAAAATATAAAGTATAAGGGAAAATAATACAAGGAATAGCCACCATTCAATTCACCAAGAAAAGATTATTAGAATTACGTGTTCCAACCCATTTCCATCTCCTTCTTTCCCCCTTCGGCAATAATTCCCACTCTACATTTTGTGCCTGTCATTTTCTTGCTTGTCTTTTAGGTTTCCCATATAATTTTTGCATCTGTAAATAACATGCCATTTCGTTTTGCATACTATTTAGGTTTTGAACTTTGTTTGCCTTTCTCTACTCAATGTATGACACATGGGTCCTGGAGATTAAATCGCGTTATTGTACATGCAGTTTGTTTGTTTTCATTTAAGAGCAGCATTCTATGGTAAGACCTCACCACAATTTGTCTATTCTGCTGCGGACAGACATTTGGGTTTGTTTCCAAGGTGTGTTTTTTGTGTATGTGTCATTTTTTGCTATTACAAAAAGTGCTATTCTGAACATTCTTATACATATCACCTGGTACACATAGCAAAAATAATCTAAGAGTTAAATCACTGGGCCACATAGTATGTACATCTTCAACTTCACTAGGTAAGCACATGTTTTCCAAAGCAGTTATATTAATTTCCATGGTCACCAGCACTGTGTAAGTGTGTTAATCACTCTGCAATCATTCCGCATCTTTGCCAATATCTCCTGTCACCGGCATTCCACACTTTTGCCAGTCTGATAGGAGCAATGGCAGATGATCTCTAAAGACAACTGCCACCCGTTTCTTCCTGTTTGTACACACATGCTGCTCCTTACACTAGGGGTGAGGTCCTTGTTCCCTCCTCTTCACCTGGCTAGGCTGACTGTGACTTGCTTCTCCCAGCTAAATGAAGAAAAAGTGTCGGGCATGCCTGTCCCGGCCCCGGCCTGCAGAGGGAATGGCAGCTCCGGCCACCGTGCTGGAAGTCGGGTCACTGTCCACCCGCTGTGCTGAGGGAGCCCAGACCAGCCACACAGAGGTTGGTGGACATGGTGACCCCTTTGTCTTGTTCCTGGTCTTCAAGGGAAGGGTTTCAGTGTTTCACCATTAACTTTCATGTTTGTTTTAGCTTTTTATAGGCACTCTTAGGTTTCAGAAAGTTCCCTTTTATTACAACTTTGGCAAGACAGGGTTTTTTTGTTTTGTTTATGTGGTTTTTTTAAATCTCATCCGAGGATATGTTTATTGACTTGAGAGAGAGAAAGGGGGTGGG